CTCAAGTCAAGATTTGTTTTCCAGTAGTCTCAAAATTTGTTTTTCAAATCCTACTTGTCAACAGTTGGAAATGTTGATTCGTGTTAGTCGATGAGTTTAATGAGTCGACAAATAAAAATGTCGAACAAACGCGTTAACAAACTATTTGACATGTATACAGGGATTAATACAAGCATTTTAGTCTACTACCTTTTTTTCGGAAGAAGATTGCAAATAAATGAGTTTTAGACGGAGAACAGTACCTCACGTCTGCCTCTCCTCCCCCCATAATGTTCTTGATTTTGTCTCTATAACAACTTTTCCAGCATGCAGACATAACCGTTTTTAAACTGGTTGAAGAATATATACAGCGATCAAGTACTTCCTTTTACAGTTAATTCACATTTACCACCATTTCGTCAAAGTATATTGTGAAATATATATATATATATATAGTTACAGAAGTTTCAATATTCACTTGAAGATTTTTTGCTACCGTACACCTGTTGTAGAAAAGTGTTGTATAAATCCCTGGTAAGGCACCAGAAAATAAAACATGGCAGCAACTAGGGCCAAAAAAAAAAATATGTGGGTTTCCGGTTTCTTCTTATAAAAACTTAGGTAGGGTAGGTCGGTTTTAACTTTTTTTTTAAACTTTTTTTTTTAATTTTCCGAATAAGCTGACGCCATTTTGTTTAGTCAGTGTTTCCACATCCAAAGATAAATTTCCCTAATATTGCCTCAAATTTCAATTTTCCACAAACTTTTTCCTCTAAGTGGAAACATTTACAAGCATGATCCAATAAAAAAGTTTAGGGTCGGGATTTCGACGTCGAAAAGCTAGGTAGGTTTGGGAAACCGGAAACCCACATATTTTTTTTTTGGCCTAGTTAAATGTGACTGACCTGAATGTCCTGAATATATCGTTCTTTTTATTAGGGAAAGGGTTTGAGATATCACAGTTTTCAAATTGGCTACTTTATGTGGGGTAGGTGTTTTTTGGTTAAGTTAAATGTGTCGCTATTGGGTCGTCACCAACATATGTGAACGGGCTTTGCTTCATGGTGGGTGGTGGCACCGAAGAGAAATGTTTTTCCCAATGAGTAGCGATTGGTCAAACACCACTATTGGCAACGTAGTGGCCAATCATATGCTTTGTTCGCGAACGACATGTTTATAAATTTAACAATAGATGTGAACTTGGTCCAACCAACTTTTCAACCGAGGGGCATTTCACTCCAAAAAAGCGTACGGGATTTTCGGATTTTTAAAAATCCGCGGATTTTTTAGCGGATTTAGAGGATTTTTCCCGGATTTTTTAGCGGATTTTTGAAGAGAAAATTTGCTGGATTTTCCGGATTTGTTCGGATTTTCCGGATTTGTTCGGATTTTTTCTGGATTTTTGAAAATCTGTTGGATTTTCCGGATTTATTTGGATTTTCCGGATTTGTTCGGATTTGTTCTGGATTTTTTTTAATTATAGAGTTATAGAGCTAGGTAACGTTTTGAACAAATAATCTTAAGTTGTACGATGTCAACGTTATGCCAGGACGTCAGGGTCGAGCAGAGGACTGGGACTAGGACCACAGCCTTCTGAAACTAACGAAGGCTGGGCATGCAGTCATTTTGTTTAAAATTCAAACAAGTTCATTATTCTTTCAAAAACAGTAAAAGACAATGGTGAATAACTTTTGGTTTAACGTTTTGTAATTATATTTTACAACATAACGTCATTGTAACAAGAACACATATTTAGTAGTAATAGGCTAAAAAAACTTAGCGTATACTCGAGCGTATAAATGGAAATGTAGAGTGGTCCAATAATTACGAAATATAATGACAGCGATCACGGTAAGCGTTTAGCTTTCGCTGTCCGCCATTTTTAACGTGCAAAGAACCTTTACGAGTAAATTACACCAAGTACTTCACATATTTTTTGTGGATTTGCGGATTTTTTAAGGATTTTGAAGGATTTCTGTGGATTTTTGAAGGATTTTTTGGATTTTGATGGATTCAGCGGATTTTGAGGATTTCATGGATTTTTTCTGGATTTTTTCCGGATTTTTTGACGAAGTGTACGGGATTTTTGGAATGAATTGCCCCTCGTTTTCAACCACCATAAAACCCTTACTTCAACCATATCGAAATGTCACGTAGCGTTTTCTGTCCCTTTATTCACATAAACGAAAGTATTAGACATTCGATTCAGTCAACATTCTTAAGAATCACCAGCTCCTCTTTCAATTTTTTATCAAAGTGCATATAAAGCGAAAATGTTATTGTCTTAAATGCAAAAGAACTCTTAAATCTGCAATAACTCTTAAATTAAGAACTTTTAAATTTCCAATGCTTCATTCAGGGTCGAGATATTTCGACTTGCGTCATATTGAAATTAGATAATATGGTATTTGGCAAAATTTTTACACCCCTTTTTTTAACTTTCTACAGGCTACATTTTGCTCATGCGCCTGTTTTCTGTTATCTTCTTTTGTATTTTCTGCTTGTCGTTTTCCATCGTTCGAGGTTTGGTTGCGAGCTGGTTTGAAGGAGGAGGGTAAGTGTTCATCACTACTCAGCGATTATACATACGTTATGTCATAGCTACCTCGAAATCCTTTGTTTTGCGAAGGACGATTAATGACTAATTTACCTCATTGCTAAAACATGAGGGACGATTAGAAACTAATCATCCCATGGGACGATTAGTTACTAATCGTCCCTTTTTTATGCATAACCCTTTATACAGGGTGTCTCAAAAAAACCGCTACCCTTGGAAATTCACCATTGTTCTAATTTGAATGCCTGTAATTTAATACAATAAATACTCTTTGCTCTGTGCTCAGTTGAGCCATTTGCTTGACATTCACTAATATGTAATTGAACGATTTTCGTGCAGTTATACTTTTGTATGAACCTACTTTCAATTCCCAGGATAAACAATTTTACTTTTCAAGGATATTTTTAATTCCGAAGATCTTTAATATATGCATTCTGTGAAAATGTTTACGCATTCATGGCTTCAACAAGGTTCAGGCATTCAAATTAGAACAATGGTGAATTTATAAGGGTAGCGGTTTTTTTTTAGACACCCTGTACAGCTATACAGGGTGTCACACTCTGTATTGATGTTCAATTAAATATTTAACAGACATGAAAAATCAACCATAACCTCATTAACGAACATCCCAATAGTCATTAGTATCAAGAAGCAAACGCGCCTTTTCATTTCAACTTATTCAATCAAATGAAACCGTTTTATTGTCTCTGTAGCTGTGATATTACAAAGTGATAGCATGGCATTCAGGGCGATTAGTGATGAAATAGCCCTCGAGCCTCGAGAGGTTTAGTAAAAGCTCCTGAAACGCGCATTGTAGGTGTTGGGCGAATATGTTTTTAAAGTTTGGATCAAAATCTCGGGACAAAACATTTCTGACCATCGATGAATATTTTTTGTATAACAGGTTTTTTCAGGTATAGTTCATTGTAATTTCATCTGGGCAAGTGGATGAAAAACTTGATATTAACACACGAAAATATTCGTTCCGCTGCACTAGAAACGCGCAAGTTTTTGTAGATCTGCAAACAAGTTGTAACAAGGTTGTTGTCAAGCCGATATTAGGATATGTTCCCATTGCTTGTTCCCAGTTGTTGTGACAAGTATGGAACAAGTTGTATCACCTTGTTACAAGATTTGTATAGGTAATCACACGGGAAGGAGTGCAATTAATGATTAACACTACGAGTGATATTTGAAAAATGTGCCAAAATTGCACGAGCCGCCGAGGCGAGTGCAATTTGGCACATTTTTCAAATATCACGAGTAGTGTTAATCACTAATTGCACGACTTGCCCGTGTGATTATTTATTTATTATATGCATGACAAAATCGCTTTCTTTATATTTCAACTGCATTTTGTCAAGAGTTTTTAATTCTTTTGTAAGCAATTTGGTATAAACAAACTTGGAAAATGATTACAAACTCATAAAGGCACATATCTTAAACTAGAACACAAGATTCAAACTCAAACAACATATTTTAGACTAAGAAAATCTTTATAAATTGTATTTCAAACTTACATAGTCACGTTTCGCTGCATCCCGCCAAGATTATTCCATAAAACTGATTCCAGGTATTTTCCACAGGCTCTTTTTGCCATACAATGTTTTTTAAACTCATTCTTGTGCCAAAATTCATTTAAATTCGTCCACATTTGTTAGAAATACTTATCTAAATTTCGCCGCCATATTGGATTTTGTTGTTTTGATTTCCCGCTCCCCCCAGCCATCGCGAAAATCATTAATTGCACTCCTGGAGAGTGCAATTAATGAAATAATTGCACCCCTCTTAACCAATCAGATTGCAGTATAATTCTTTAATGCCTCCATATTTGAAGATACGAATATTTACAATTATAAATAATTAATTAAAATTAGTTTAAAAAAAAGACAAACAACACACAAACTAGTAAATAGCTTCTGAATCCAAATAAATGTCAATGTAACTGGATATTGTTATTATCTTTTAAATGGACTCAGCAACTATAATATAAAAATTTTGTACTTGGTTATTATTATGTCCCTCCATGAATTGCATGTTTCCAAAGATCGTCTGCATCAAATTGTCCTCATCTAACGAATTAATGTTTGCTACGAATTCCACTGGAAAGAAATCTGTGATACGTTCCCATAATTTTGTTCTTGCTAATTGTGTTTCACAACAATGCAACATAGCATGTTTTACAGGATTTGTGTAGTAGTTACCACAAGACATACAATGAAATTGTGTTTTTTCTCCAGCAAATCGCACACCATTCACATAGAATGACCCACAAAGAACTTTAACAATAATTGCCACTTGGTTGGCCATCTCGCTGCTTTCGAGAGCAAACTGCAACCACATGTTACGCATTGGTTCTTTTACGACTTGGCTGTATAATCCTAATTGTTTATAACGTTGCGTTTTGATCTTCCAAAAGTCAATCTCCGCATGATTAATATTCTCAATTACTATTTTCTTCCATTCAGATTTGCTGGGAAAATTTCCAGACCATATACTCCCACAAGCAATACTTCTGTAAGATTCTAACTAAATCTGGTACAAAACCAGTGATTTTGTTCGGATTCCATCTCCATCTATTAAGTCGTATCATGAATACCCTGCGATGTACACAGTCCTCACTTGCACATATTAGTCGTCTGAGAAACAGAAGCTTTCGTTTGTCTATTTCTGCTCCGACCGTCCAGAGACCAAGAAGTCCACGTGCAGCTGAACCCGAGGTACCACTAAGTAAACCCAGACATACTCTTAAAAATATATTCTGTACCTTTTCCAATTTTGATAGTTTTTCTCGATTAAGTGTCCACAACTCAGCACCGTACAACATTTTCGGCAGAGCAATCCGTGCCCACAGCTTAGTCGCCACCAATGGATTCATCCCATTAAATCTACATCCCAGATTTGCTAAACCAATGCCGATAGCCTGACCTTTCTTCGCAGCCTCTAGTATTGGAATAAGGCTGGCAACGTCGGTGTGCCAATCTTTTCCAAGATTATGCCAGATACTTTTCTCCATGATTTCTTTACCTCCTATAAGCCACGTTCTGTTCGTAACTGCCGATATGTTAGCTTGTTTTTCGCCAAAGGTCAGCACAACAGTTTTTTTCTCATTAAAAGTAAGTCTCCATTTTAGGCTATAGTTATGAACTTGTACAAGCATGTTATCAAGACCTCGTTTTAATCTTGACATAAGCGTAAGATCGTCAGCAAACATTGGTGATCCAACAAACAAATTTTGAATAACTATACCAGTGGATAGCTTTTCCAGCTCGCTTATCATATCATCAATGAAGTGAAGAAATAGCCATGGCGATAATACCCCACCTTGTCGAACCCCCTGTAAGATATCATACTGTCTGGAACGTTTACCATTATAAAAGACATATTCCTCCATGTCTGAGTACCAACTTTTTATTAGCCTCCAGCACTTTCCTCTAATATTTACGTTGTGATATAATTTAAACAACATACCATTTATCCATACTTTATCAAATGCCTTTGAGACATCAACATAGCAGGCAAATACTTTATCGTTTTCCTCGCAACAATGCTTAGTTGACTCGTCAATAACAAATGAAGTCGTCAAGGCGTCACGCTCAGCTTGGTAGGCCCCTTGAAGCGGGTGGGGTCGACATCTTATTTTATTTTGAAGCCTGTTGAGTACTAAACGTTCGAAAATTTTGTTAAAAGTACAAAGAAGAGTAATTCCTCTGTGATCATCGAATTTTGATGCACAGCTCTTCCCTCCCTTTGGAATTGGAATTTTGATTCCTAACTTAAATTGTCTTGGGATGTACTCCAATTCAATGATCTTATTATAAAGTATCAACAGCTTGGCAGCCAGAATATCCCCAGAGTACTTAATATGTTCATACGTTATGCCATCATCACCGGGAGCTTTATTATTTGGTAATTCTGTTAGCACATCCTCGATCTCTTTTAAAGTTATGGGATCCTGAAAGATATCATCAAATTCAGCTAAGGAGTTTTTTGTTATGTCACTAACCTCGATATCGATATACTCCCTGAAGTCATCATCAAAATTTGTATTTTCCTCAGGAGTTAAAAGTTTTTCATAGTAATTAGCCCACACATCTGCTATTTCTTCTGGGTTTGAGATAGTTCTTCCATCATTCGTTGTGAGCACATTAGTTGATCTTTTCTTCTTTCTACGTCGGTTTACATATTTCCAAAACCTGATGTGATCGATCTCGGAAGCCTCACTAAGCTCTTTGAAATCATTCTCCTCTGTTTTTCGTACCATTTTACGTTGTTCCTTCCTGAACAGACGCTTTGCATCTTTGTATAACCGAAAACTTTCATACTGTTCTCCTCTTGGACGTCCTTCTGAGGTCCATTTCTTATGAAGCTCCATGCAAGCTGTCTTTAATCGCTTGAGTTCATTATTCCAGTAGGGCTTGATGGACTTCTTATACTTCGCACGAGGTAGACATTTGTCGCTGCTTTTTATGCTGCGACAGATCAAACGATAATAGTTCTCAACGTCATCACTGGTATATAAGGTATCATCCATTGTTGTGATTGTATCATTTAATCTTCTTGGATATTCTAGTACTTGTTCCAAAGCACATTTTCTCCACGCAATTCGTTCATACTCGTTTTCTAAATTATTAGATGATTCATGGCAGTTTATACCAGCAGAAATTTCAATGCCAGCAATCAACGGCAGATGATAAGATAAATTGCACGGATGTTCGTCGCCAACTTTAACACACTTTACAATTCTTTCGATGTTTTTACTCGCAAAAATGTAATCAACAACACTGTTACCACAACTTGAGTAATACGTGAATAACGGACCCATACAGGGCATATCCACGTTAACTGGAAACATGTCAAATTCAGCAAACATTTCAAGGAGTAGTTTTCCTCTATTATTTTCACGTTGACCTGAACGTGGATCCGATACATGTACGTTAAAATCGCCTGCAATAATGATTTGCTCTTCTCTGTAACTTAATTGAGTGCACACTGCATTAAGGCAAGTTAGAGTGTCGATAAAATCAGCCAAGTTACTGTTCGTTGATGGAAAATAGATACTACAGAAAACATAATTCTGATTATTCATTCGAAATTTAATTGCTACGATCCTATCATTTCCGAGTAATAATCGTTGTGCCTTGAGATGTTTTTTTCCAAACAATCGCGACGCCCCCCTGACCTCGCTTCCATCTTGTGTTCATATTATTTTGTTACTTTGCATAATACAAAAAATCGTTATGTAAATTGTCTAATATAGTAAGCTCATCGGCGTATAACCAATGTTCTGATATGGCTAAAACATCAACACTTTCAAGTAGCTTTTGCATATAAACGAAGTTCGATTTGATTCCTCCGCAGTTCCAGCATGCAATGTTTATGAAGGCGGTTCTCTGGATGGATCTCTGTCAGATTTCACTGACCGTTTTTCCCATTTATCTTTGGAGAGCCATTCCCTTGCGTATACATTTTTCGGCCAAAAATTTGGTTCAAGAATCTCCTTAATATCTGAAGCTCTGACATTTATACGCACAGCAACGGTGCCGCTTCGCCGACTTTTCATCATTCGTACGAAAGTCGGCTGAACGCCTTTTCCCTGCATAAATTCTTTTATAGTGCTCGCGTGAACCCCGTCTTTAACACCACCTAGATACAATCGTTTTGTGTTGCGCCGTTCCACGCCAATAAACACCTTTGAGTCAACTAAACTCGCTTCATTTTGATTTTCACTTGTTTTTGAACTTCTAATTACTTGACTTTGTTTTGGACAATCGGTATTATTCGACGGCGGTCCCGGGTCATTTGCGCTCTCGCCTTTGTTACTATCATCATCATTAACTAGAACTGTATTAATTTGTCCTTCGCTTTGTTCACAATCAATAACACTCACAATAGTAACTTGCTCATTGTCCTCATTACTGCCACTCGCTACAGCAGCGAAGGATCGTGGCTGAGTACCATTGTTAACAGCTCCCTTGGGTCCTGGGTGTGCAAGTTCAGTATTGCCAAACTCTACAGAATTATTCAAAATTTTTTTCGTTAATATTTTAATACTTTCCTTTGACTTTCTCTGTTCTGCCATTTTAGAAATATTTTCCATCTCGACGCAGATGCTTTCGCATTTCGAATTTAGAGATTCTTTTGAAGCACGGCAATTAGCTCGTAACGTCGACACCTCCTTTTCTAGCGAGTATATTTTTGAGTCTTTTTCGGCTAAATGTAATTGCATATGATTAAGTTCGTCTTTCAATTTGTCAATATCTGTTTTATGTTGAATATTTGTTTCAACAAATTTTGCTTCTAAATCTTCGACAATTTCGAGTAGTTTCTTGAGATTAGGTTGATCAAAAGCGTTCGTTTCCTTATCTCCGAGAGCGTAACTACAATCCGTATTCCTGACCTTGCGAAATATGTCCTTTAGCGCTTGACTTCCTTCGCCGCTCTCGTAAAATTTCACAAGCAATACAATATCTTGTGCGAGCTTCTCTGACGCCGACGTTCCCCTAGTTCTTGTAATTCTCCTCTGAAGTTCGCCTTTTCGACAACAACTCCACTTAGAACGGACCAGTTGCAATACTCTATCCCTTAAACCAGCTAAACCATCGGTATCTCGTGCGATTAGCTGTCGTACGACAATCTCGCTCGATGTACTTTGCAGACGCCTTCCCAAATCATCAATAAATCCGGTCAAATTTTCGTCAGAATCACAATTATTATTACAGTCTGTTTGTATTTGAGAGTTTGTATCAACAATTGTTGATAAAGCCTCGGCTAAATTAGCCGATTGAGAGTTTCTTCGCATGGCAGGTGAAGAGCCTTGAATAAAAGTAAGTAAGTAAGTAAGTAAGTAAGTAAGTAAGTAAGTAAGTAAGTAAGTAAGTAAGTGAGTAAGTAAGTAAGTAAGTAAGTAAGATCAAACTTTTCTGTATCCCGTTGGAAGAATCGCGATAACCGGCGTCTTCACTACGTAGCAAGTTAATAATTAACTTTCTCTGTGCTGCTTTCAAGCCTAAACACTTCAAATATAAGAAAGAGTTTCCTCTAAAGCATTAAAAGGCATATGAGAAATATAGCAACGGCTATCTGTTATTCGAAACGCGGGCAAAATTATTGTTGACATTTGAGTTACGTAATTACTTACGTTAGCGAGATTGACCATGGGAATTAAAGCCGAAGATTTTTCGGTCAAAAACAAATTAGTCATAGCCATTTGGGCAGGCGTTTATTTAACGATGCCTTCTTCTCTTCCTCCCGCACTAAACGCCTGCTACGCAGGCTAGCGATTTGTTTGTAACTTGAACTGTTAAGGGACAATTTTCAAGAGTAATTTTCATTTACAATCTTCGCACTTCATGATCAGAATTTCAGTATTTATACTAATGAAAGTCGGACAAGCATTTTATGTTGCATCTTACCTGTTGGGTACTGAGATTGGTCCACGATGGCGATCTCATTCAAATTGGTAAACGACTTTGGTAAAGAAATATTTCGATATACAACTCCAGTTGATACATTCATTTCCTGAACCACTCTTGTGTCAGTTTTTTGAAGGTAAAGAAAATCTCCGAAAATGGTTAACAGACCAACGTTCCCTTCAGCAAATATTTTTTTTTTTAACAGAACACCATCATAATCCAGGAAACATATATTTATGCTCGTATTACTTTTTCGATAATAGTACAGTTCCTTGTTAACATAATTGAGATAAACGCTGGGTTGGCCATCTTTCATATTGAACTTCTCAAGATCCTCTCCGTTAAAATTGATTCGCGTCAGACTTGATGCACCGTTTTTAGAAAAGATATGTCTAAACGGACAAGAATACAAGACTGTTACACCAGTTGGTAAATTACTTTAATTTATTGCACTATGGAACCTGTGACATTTAAATGTGAAACTTTAAAAAAACTATTTAAAAAAACTATACTAAATGAAAGTTCATGTTGTTTTGGTTGTGAATTGACATGAACCATATATTCCACGAATAATGCAGACAAAGGCCTCAAACTCTGTCGACAATGCTCTTCGATAAAAATATTCCGACGGAGAAGAATTCAAGTAATTCGTTTTAGACAAAATTCCACATATTTTGGTGGATATTTTTTTATAATCGAAAACGTTTTAACATCTTTTCCCGATGGCACCTTAAATGGCCTTCTTAGGAAGTCAAACAAATTAAACGTCCACAGCCAACAAGCTTGCGGACGTGTTTTCATTAGTCCGCTCAAAATTTCTTATTTAGCCGTAATCTGTACTCAAATTAACTGATTATAACGTCGTCAAAGTAATTTATATATCACGAATAATGCCTCCTAAGCGTAAAGATAAGGAAACTACAGACGACAATGATGAATTGGTCTCCTTAAAAATGGTCAAGGTGCTTATGTCTCAACAGGAAAGTGCTTTCAAGTCCTTGCTCGACTCTTTAATCAAGTCAACTATTGCAAGAGTGGACGGCCTAGTGAAAGAAGTCGCTGATTTGAAAGCTAGCTTGGAATATTCGCAAAAAGATATCGCTGAAAGCGGAAAATCAATCAAGCAAAACGAGAAAACTATAGCCGCCATTACAGTCGAGCTCACCAGCACGAAAACAACCTTGGATAAATGTCACAACAAAGCCACATATCTGGAAAACCAAAGCAGGCGAAACAATATCCGTGTGATTGGTATCCAAAAAAACCCCACGAAACGTGGGAAGAATCAGAGGCTGTAGTTAAATCCGCATTAGTCGAGAAGCTGAATTTGCCCTTTCAACCCCGAATTGAAAGAGCGCACCGTACCGGCAAATTTACGAATCATGATGGAACACCTAGAAATGGCCATAGACCTATTATCTGTAGATTGGGAAGAAAAGAAAATCATCATCAAAGAAGCGAGAAAGAAGAAACCAGAAGGCCTCTTTGTCAACGAAGATGTGGCCGAAGCAACCCTGGAAAAACGTCGTTCTCAAATACCCCGACTAAAACAAGCCCGAGAAGAAGGCAAATTAGCCTATTTTGTCTTGGACAAGTTAGTTATTAAGGACAAACCTCCTCGATAAGTTTACAACTAAGAACACTCCCATTTGTCATTCCTGATGTAAGTACTTTTTCTTTAAAATGTCTTATAACAATCTAAGTTGTAATTTCTGTTGTAAATCAACCAACTCGAAATTGCGAACCGTTCTCTGTAGTAATTGCCGAGCAAATTATCATTTAAAATGTACAAGCTTAAATTATTTCTCTCCGGCCAAGCTAGAGACTTGTTTGCAATCTTTGCTTTGTTCAAACTGCTTGATTTCATTATTTCCTTTCAATCATCTCGACGATGAATACTTTGAACTAGCAATCCATGAGTTGGTTAATGGTTCTCTAAACTATGATTTTGACAGTCTATCCTCGCTCGCCTTCAACCCTTTATTTAAGAAATTTAAATCCAATTGTTTTCACAATCATGATCCGGATAACACATTTTATGACACATATGATTGCAAATATTATCTTGCAGATCTTAGGAAAAACATAATTGCTGGTGTGGTTTATAGGCCTCCAAATAACATCGTTGAAACATTCACTACCACGCTCAACAGCATTATATCTCGCATTTCCAAAGAAAATAAAATCTGTTATGTGGTAGGTGATATGAATTTGAACATCATGAACCATGAAGTTCATACAAGAACGGGTGAATTCTTAGACAGCATGCTTTCTTTTATGATGTATCCTTGTATATCGCTACCATCGAGATTTACTGCTAATTCAGCCACACTTATTGATAACATCTTTACTAATGACCATGAATATGTCTTAAAGTGTGGTCTTTTGTTTACAGACATATCAGATCATTTTCCAGTCTTTGTTATCTCAGATACTAGTTGTAGTAACATTTCCCAAACTCATCAACGAGATAAAACGATATTAACCCGAAATTTTAATGAAACCAATAAAACCAAATTTAATACTGCGTAACAAAATTTCAATTGGTTTGAAGTTTATAACTCTAATGAAACAAATGAAGCATATGATGCTTTTGTTAACAAATTTTGCTTAATTTATAATAATTGTTTCCCGCTTTGTCGCCCAAATAGAAAGGCTATAAGCAAAATCGAAAAACCATGGATCACCAATGCCCTTTTGAAGTCGATAAAAGGTAAAAGTAAACTGTACAAATGTTTTCTTAGTAATCCTAATACATATAATAATCAGAAGTATAAAACTTATAAAAATAAACTTACGCACTTACTGAAAATATCAAAACTCCTCTATTATGAAAGTAAAATTAACAACACTAGTAATAATATTAAACAAACCTGGAAATTAATAAATGAAGTTATAAACAAACGTAATTCAAAACCTAAATTCCACTCAAAATTTCAGTATAGAAATAAGGAAATTTCTGACCCTACCGAAATCGCAAATAAATTTTGTAGTTATTTTACTAGTGTTGGCAAAAATTTAGCTGACCAAATACCTTCCTCATCGGTATCTCCAAAACGTTATTTACAGGGAAACGTTAGGGAATCTATATTTTTTATCCCAGCAACAATACAAGAAGTAATTGATATATCTCGGACATTCCAATCTGGAAAAGCTCCAGGGTACGATGGAATTAAAATAACAGCTGTGAAACAATTCATCTATCATATCTGTGAGCCTCTCACTTATATAATTAACCTTTCACTCTCTTCTGGCATTGTCCCAAATAATATGAAAGTTGCCAGAGTTATTCCAATCTACAAAAAGGAAGATCCCTCCTTGTTTTCAAATTATAGACCGATATCAATTCTGCCCTGTCTCTCCAAATTCCTTGAACGAATAATTTACAATAGGATATCCGACTTTATCAATAAAAAAGATATTTTATATATGCATCAATACGGATTTAGAAAAAAACATTCTACTTGTCTAGCCATGCTTCATTTGATCGATAACATCACTTCTTCGCTTGATCGCAAAGAACTCGTAATGGGAATTTTCCTTGATTTATCAAAAGCTTTTGACACGGTGGAACATGAGATTTTATTTGACAAGTTATATTTTTACGGTATTCGTGGTATCGCATTAGACTGGGTCAAAAGTTATTTTTACAATAGAAAACAATTTGTCCAATTCAAGAAATCCTGTTCTGCCCCCCAAACTCTTGTATGCGGGGTGCCACAAGGTTCAATATTAGGGCCACTCTTCTTTCTGCTTTATATAAATGATCTTTATAATGTATCATCTAGTCTTTCAAAGATCTTTTTGTTTGCAGATGACACTAATATTTTGATCTCACACAAAGATCACACATGTCTAACTGATATAGCAAATACTGAACTTGACAAAATTAACTCATGGTTCAAAGCCAACAGACTCTCGCTAAACATTAAAAAGACAAATTTTATGATATATAAAACATTTAAAAAAGAAAATGTAATAATCGAACCACCATGCATAGACAGTAAACATGCAGCTTGAACGGCTAACGCAGACTTCATTTTTGGGCGTAGCCCTTGACCAGCATTTATCTTGGAAACCTCATATCAGCAATTTGGCTACAAAAATAGCAAAATCAGCTGGTGTTATATTTAAATGCAGATTCTATATGCCCAAAAAATGTTTGTTATCGCTGTATTATGCTTTAGTTTATCCTTATTTACATTACTGCAATCTAGTGTGTGGGTCATCGTATGTAACAAATCTGCATAGGCTAATCCTCATACAAAAGAAAGTTGTACGATCTATTGCTAAACAGAATATCTCGCTCCATCTGAACCGATATTTAAGGAACTTAAAATTCTAAAAGTTATGGAAATGAATTCATTACAAAAAGGTACATTCATGTTCTCGTACTGTAATAATTTGTTGCCGCGCAGTTATGATAACCTCTTTGTCTCGGGCTCACAAATTTATCATTATAATACTAGAACTGCTCAAAATCCGCGTCCGCATCGATGTCGTACAACTCTAAAATCACAAACAATAACTTACCAGGGTCCTGTTTATTGGAATTTCTTAAATGATAACTTAAAAATGTTACCAAACCTTTTGCAGTTCAAATTCAAACTGAAAGAATCTTTACTGCAAGACTATTTATACTAATGTATTTACTATGCTTACCTATGTATATCTCATAAACACCTTCACAATATCGATCTATACCGTAATTTAAATATTGACTTATAAGTTATAGTCGTTTTTAAGTATTTTTCTCTATAATGTCCTCTTGTCATATATTGAACATAATGATATATTATATCGAGGAGTCTAATATTTATAAGCCGTTGGCTTCTGTTTTAGACTTCCTCGTCACATACATATTATAGGGTCTACTAATAACCTCTCATATTCAAAATAGTTTGGAGAACCCTATATTATGATCTAAATAGTTAATCTTGTAAAAAATGTGTGACAAATTAAATTCAATTCAATTCAATATGAAACCACAAAGTAAAATTAATAAAAAAAACTTTTCTAAGTTATTTCAGTTTATTTATCGTTATTCTCAAACAATATGTAAACTTGTTCGCTTTCCGCACTTATTAACACATTGGAGCCATGCAGTACACGCTTATAATAATAATAATAATAATAATAATAATAATAATAATAATAATAATAATAATAATAATAATAATAATAATTATTATAATACAACTTTATTCATCATTTCATTATATACAATAATTCTTTTGTTATCAATGACTATATTAAATAATCTGTTCTTTGGCTATAATTAAAAAAGTGTCTAAATGTTTGTTGATATGTACAGTTAAATTTTAAAAACAAACTCTGGAACATATACCGCTACATAATTAAAATATTTACCGCTAAGTAGCTAAATAACTAAACTAAGATATTCCGCTATATAACTAAACAACTAAACTTTGTATATGTACAGTCTAAAATGTTTGAGAGATCGCACTCTCGGCGTTCTCAATGTTGAAATCAATGTTCTTAATTAATATCATACATGATTTTCCTTGCCCTTGAACCCCTCAAGCAGGTAAG